AGATTTTCTTTTAATGCAAGATAATGCCAGGCCGCATACTGCAGCCATCACGTCAGATTACTTACGACAGCAGGAAATCCGTGTAATGGAGTGGCCTTCCATGAGCCACTAAAGACGAATATTCAAACGATATAAGAATATTTCTTTGATGGACCTTTTTTATCACCAATTAGTTTTTCGTCTACAATGCACATTTTAATAAAAAAAATACAAATTGATTTTTTTAGTAAATCAAGAGCGTAGAACGGAAGAGAAGAACTGTATATTAAAGCGTCTACATCGAGATAATGGTGGTGGGGATGAAATCGGCTCGTAGTTCGAATCGGCAGTAGTTTCTCGATTTGCCTACACACGAGGCGATATACTGCCCACCACTTCCCCGATATTGCCTCTGATTTTAGGGCCATGTGTAGACGCTTTTAATAGTATCATCATTCATTACAGAATACGTCGATAAAAATCGATCTTATCGTGTTCTCAAAAGGTTTAAAAGCTTTACGACATGATAACATTACCTTTTTAAATTATAAAAGATAATAAATAAAATAAAAATAAAGACTTATTGAGAGTCGCCAATGTAATTTAAATTCTGAAACGATTTGGTATAACCTACTATCGGATTGTTTATTTACTTATAATTCCTACTAATTTCTACCCTACTAATGAAGTGTATGTTTTTATAACTATTATTAGATACACAGATTGATATGGTCTGCCGATATGTTTCGCCTCTGTACTAACTACTTAAACAACAATTTATTAGATGAAGAAACCTATAACATAAATACATAATATTTGAAACATACAGAGGCGATTAGGCGTTTGTTTATTCGACCAGAGAGAGGGTCTTTTTTGAATTCTGTTCTCCGAGTAGCAGAGTGCCTGGATTCGAGTCCCTCATACTCTGTCGCTTTGGTGCTGGGAATTCGCATTTGTTTAAAAATAAAAGGTATTTGCAAATTTCTGAAGGAACAATTTAATTTAAAAGGTTAAAGTAATATAAGAAAATTTTATTCGATATTATTATTAGCTCGGACTACAGTTATAAGCTTTTTATATCTGCGTTTTATTTAAATTTATTTTATGTCTACTATCAGATTGAGATACAGATCTCAGTGAATTCTTGATACACATTCACATGTATTTTTATATAGATCCTTCAAGGAATAATGTGGGCTATTGAAGAAAATGAGACGCATTCAAAAGCCATTCGCAAAAAAGCTTTGCTAAAAAATAGGGCTAAAACTTGCATGCAAAGAACGTAACTAAATATTTTAAAATTAATTTTTGTTTAAGTGTGTAGTTAACTTTTGTTGATCTGAAATGTTTCTGTGATCATTTTTATTTATAGGCAAGTGAAGTGGGGTGATGCCGGTTTTCTCACGATGTTTATCTTCACCGTAGGAGTATGTGTTAGATGATTAATTCTATATAATTCCCATATTTATTTTATAAGCTTACAAAGTATCAAATCCATTTACAATTGTGTAAACCTTCTACGATGAAGCCATTGTAAGCTTTTTTGAACAAAGAGGATTATTACTACAGGTTATGGATAAATATATATATACAGGACTTGCTGACACTGGGAAATTATGGAGACCTCGTTTTTATTAAATACCGTCTGACCTGTATATTATACGTTAAATAAGACGATACAATGATTTGAAGTCGGTTTGTATATATAGATTTTGTAATAATTAATTAACGAATACATCTATACTAATATTATAAAGAGGAAAGATTTTATTTTTTGTTTGTTTGAAATGAATAGGCTCCGAAACTACTGGACCGATTTCAAAAATTCTTTCACCGTTGGCAAGCTACACTATTCCCGAGTGATATAGGCTATGTTTCATTTTCAAAAAAAAATAGGGATGCTTACTAAAACTTGAATAATCTAACCCAAGGTGTAAAAAAAAAACAAAAACTTCCTTCAATGGCATACGTTGCGAAAACTATTAATGATAGAACAAACTGATGTATTAAAATTTTTCAAGACACATCATTATCTATAAAAAATGTCACGACAGCTGTCTCTATCTTTTATAGTTACGTCACAATAAGCGTCCTTTTATTAATTTTTTTTAATTAAAATACCAGCGCTAGAAAAGGCTCTTTATTCGTACCTAGGTATTGATCCTTATCAAAATAATTACCAACGTTTCACATAAGCTACAATTTAATGGCATAACCACCAAAAAAGCATGGTGGATTGGTGTTCTCCTGCCGTTTCTCTTGAATAGTTTACTACTATGTAATATAACAAAAATCTTAGCCACAGCAACGCTTGGCCGAGTCTACTAGTATAATATACGAAAAAATAAATCACGCTTCAAAGGCTAAACGTGGTTAGAGACGAAGATATGCACTGTATATGACGGAATAAAACGTCTATCAGTTCCGCTAATCTGTACAACCGAAACCCATTAAGTCTCTATATTTCTCAATTTCAATTTCAAAGGCTTTATTTCTACTAATACTCTATAATAAGTCTCTATATAATACATTTATTTACGCAGTCTTATAAATCTTATTTAAATTAACGTAACATTATTTACATAATTCGACCATACCACAAACGACTCTTTGCTTTAGCTAAGGCTTATAAACAAAAGTATAGTCAATTCATACTATAACAAAAAGCTTTGTTTCTAGCAGAATATTGAATATATTCATAATAAAAATGATTACAAAAATGCAACCTACAAAGGGTAGTAGTGCTATTCGATTATTTTTTTATTGTGTGAGATAGGAACTCAAATACAGCTATCGAACTCACACACATAATCTAGACGTGTCATTCGATATTATCAAATATTAATATCACATATATTTCCCATTGAAATGTACTCCGTAGAAAGCAGGTGCACTGACCAACAAACCAATCAAGCGAGCGACATATCGCGTTACATATAGGGTTCTTATAACTAACGAATAACAGAACAGAAGATTTGAGGTTAAATTATTTAGGAAAGATCTTATGTCAGTCAATATGCTTCATTGCCAAGTAATTTCATACTAGTTATCGTATAGATGCGACTAAATCCTGGGCTCATGTATATGAATGCAGGTATGAACCTAATTCGTTTAAAATATTTTAATAGTTTTAGACTCAAAAATCGACGGTAAAGCTAAATAAGACAGAATATTTTAAAACTGCTTGGTCGACATGGGTTCTATAGCTACAAACAAGTTCTGCTCCAAATGTATGATACACTGTATATATAACATAAGTTAACAACAAATAAGTATCGCAATACTTCGAGCCTCGAGGAAGTGCTGCCAGTATTAAAGGTACAGTAAGGCACTAAACAATTTTCAATTATTATTATAACTTTGTAGATTAAGAATATTTTAAATACTGTATATTTGTGTGTTGAGAATAAATATCAATATAATCTATATTTTATCTAATAAATGAATCGTTTCATTATACAATGGCCTAACTCTAATAGGATAAACGGTGTTATGCGTGTGACTTCTGAAAGTGAATATGGAATTCTCTCACGCACATTCACTCTTCGTTTGGCCCAATTATATACAGAACTTGAACTTCAATGCCTTGTATGTATTGAATATCATGTATTTATTATTTACTTAACTATAATTTACTGAGAGCAGTGTTGGCCTAGTGGCTTCAGCGTACGACTCTCATCCCTAAGGTCGAACCCCGGCTTTGCCACCTTTGCTATGCACCAATGGACGTGACACGAAACATCGTGAGGAAACTGACATGTCTTAGACCCAAAAAGTCGACGGTGTGTGTCAGGCACAGGAGACCTGGATCAGCTACTTGGATTAGCTACTTGCCTGTTAGATTGAAAAATGATCATGAAACAGATTCAGATCTGAGGCCCAGACCTAACGTAGTACTTTTGTTTTTTAATTTTTTTAATAATTACTTGGTATTATTTACAAAAATATTCCCGTTTTTGTAATGAAGATTCACCATTATAATGCTGCATTATCACTGAGTCTATGTTAATGTTAAAAATATTTTAATATGCAGTGTAAAGCCGAGACAAGGCCCTGGTTTCTAATTAAATTGGTCCCGAGTCAAAGTACACTGTAATAATGAGAAACAGTATTATCTTTGTGTGTGTCAGGCATGTGTAACTGTTTTTTAACGAACAATATTTGATTGTCTGACGAGACATAAATTTATATAAAAACCCGCATTGTATTGCATTTTGATTTATATACCGTTTTTATGGCATTATAGAGTTAGGCACTTGTCTCACCGGCAACGATTAACGAGTAACGAGTAGAGCTAGAACCAGAAACGAGTTAGCGAGACGCGGGGAGCGAGTGCGTAGTTCCAAAATTTGTGTAGCTCGGCTATAAGCGAGTGTGCGAGTGAGATGAGCGATTACTCGCCGCCCGCTCGCAGCAGTCAAGTTTAGCAAGAAATAATCACTGGTTCTCTCTCGGCATGAGTTCTAATCGCTTGGGAGTATGCCGAGCGAGTGTTATCTTTCATAGCTCTTGTCGCTCAGCGACAAACTAGTGAAGCGAGTGCTCGCCGGCAGTGTGAACAGTCAGCGATCAACTGTTTGTATATGCATCTCTTTTGTTCACACGAAAAGAATATCTATTGTACGTTTCTTGAGCGAGAAAATAGCCGAAGTTAGTTCTGGGGGGGCTGCCTTATTCTTCTTAAAAAAGTAAAAGTAGAGCTCTTTATAAGTTAGCCGTCTCGAGTTCGATCATGTCACGATGTGTCCCTCATGTAGCTATTCGGCACATAATTACTCACCAAAAAAAAATGTTGCACGCAAAATATTACTTTTAAAATAATAAAATAATTTTTCACACAAAACACTGTTCATGGAATTTGAATACGCTTGATAATACTGTAATAAAAATGACGCCGGCTCAGCTGGTTGCTTTAGAGCAAACATTCAAACATACATTTCAGCAATTCATTTTTATTTATATAAATAAAGATTTGTTACCATATAGTGATTTCAATTCATAAAAATACTCTAAAATCTTACCATAAACTCCATGTGTTCTGCAACAGTCAAGTCTTCAATGGACAAATCCTCTTGGGGAACAAAGCCAGATATCCTGGCGATCAGATCAGCACCAGCCAGGCGCCCGTTTAGCATAAGGTAGCCCGTGGTAGCACTTTTGTCTCGACGACTTATAGCAGCGAGTAGCGTGGTCTTACCGGCTCCACTGGTAACAAAATGTGTTATATAAGTTTGACAATTTATTTATTAAAGTACACTCAAAGTATATTGAATATGTAGAGGGGTTTCTCCTAAGTTGGTCACACAGACGGAATTATGGACAAATCTAACTAAAAAATTTTGACCTGGAATTTAATACAATAGTTAATGTTACTACGTAAGAAAAAACCGTTGTGGATTGTTGCCATTTTTCAAAAACTAATTTTACTTGGTTGATACTGGTAACTCTTGAGACATAAAAAAGAAATGGGAAGCACAATTGAATTGCGCAGTACATTTATTTGTACACATAAAGTACAACTGATTTACCAATTATCAATGAACGTCACTCTACCTGCCACCCCTCAGAGTGAGGTAACGCCTAAGAAGGTAACGCCTCTTGAGCGAGGTAACGCCGACATTTATTCAAGATGTTTTGGCAGCCGGCTCCATCGAATGTATAAGACGTTGTAACCCCAACAACTAGTAAACTGGTATTTGAAAATTCCTCCAAATGACGTTTAGATTAAATAAAATTTTTGAATTCAAACGAGACGTGGTTCAACTAAGTTGTACATACAGACGTAATACAAAAAACTCTGCCATTTTGAACCTGTGGATAGATAACAAACGAATTTAATGTAACTTTGTAAGCTGATGCTCGTTCATAATGTAAGGTGTATAATTTATTGTATTTTGTCACCACAACCGTCGACATACCGGCTATATACCAGCTGGAGGTGAATAGAATTGTTTGTGTATTCCCAGTATATATTTTATTGTAAAAAATCAATCCAAATTTTATTATGTAGGGGATAAATTATAGCAGTGTGTGGGAGTCTGCGATACAAAACATGAACACTTATTGTCTGTTATTCGTTTGTCCAATTTTTTACACCTAATAATTTATTTTTCTACGATATATCTATCGACGTCGTTACCTAGGCCGCCGCCCGTAGAATTATTTTGGTTGATCTATTCTATTTGTCAAGTATTTTTTGCGGATTTTCAAAAAAATAAATGACAGTAACATCTTTAATATGTTCTTTTTTATTGTATTTGTAACTATTGTTTTCACCGTAACTATTTATTTTTGGACATCTTAATTTGTATATATTTGTTGTACATTTAATAAATCTATCTCAGTAGGCAAATACTGAAGTATATTCTTGAAGAATATCATATCAAAGACCCTTTGTAAAAATTAAGAATAAAGTCATACATATCGTCTAACGATGTAAATACATAACCGGCCTTTATATATGATTTGTGAGATTTCTTTGTACTTGTGCTATTGCGTGCTTGAATTTTGCTTCATTAGTGCATTCCTAGAAATAAACTAATTTATCAGTCGGTAACTCTTAGTAAAAAAATTCCGAGCGGCTTTACTTATAAGAATAAAAATCCTAGAAGAATAAATTCGTATACTATTTTGAAACAGGGATCTTGTTCTATAATAAAAAAAAACAACAGACGAAACGCACCATTTTATTTTTGTTTAACTATCTCGTTGGTTTTTTTCTCTTTATAAACATATTAATATTTCTAGTACTTAGAACAATTCAATTAACTTTTTGAACTGGTTTTATTTTTTTTAAATAAGCGAAGTGAGGTACGTGTGTAATTTATCTGGTTTTTATTCAATATTTTTACATATGCGATGAAACAGATAAACCATAATAAAGCTTATGCAGAAATCTCACCTTGATCCCATTAAAGCTACTAAGTTGCCAGAAGACACGATGCCGCTCACTAAAACAAAGTAAGAACAACACATTAAGAAGGAATTAATATATTCTATATTCTAATGCTTTTAAAAAGTATTTAGTAAATGTATATTTGTAATCAATTCGTGATAAACATGAAATGTAAACTGTTTATATTGCAGCTGTACATTATACTTAAACTTTTATTTGACATCGCAACATATAGTCCTTTTATTAACTAAAAATAATTCTGGAACGAGTGGAAGTAATGAAATATCGGCTCAAATAAAATAAATCTGTGGCGCTACAACCTCTTTAGGTCTTGGCCTCAGATTTCTGATCTGTTTCATGATTATTTTTAAATCTAATACGCAAGTAAGTGATCAGCCTCCAGTGCCTGACACACGCCGTCGACATTTTGGGTCTAAGACTTGTTGGTTTCCTTACGATGTTTTCCTTCACCGTTCGAGTAAATGTTAAGTGCGCACATAGAAAGAAAGTCCATTGGTGCACGAGCCGGGGATTGAACCTATGACCTCAGGTATCAGGGTCGCACGCTGAAGCCACTAGGCCAAGACGGCACATAGTTGTTCATTACACTTCAACTTTTATTTGACTTCGCAACATATATATTATATATATGTTGTCCTTTTATTAACTAATAATAATTCTGGAACGACTTGAGGTATTAAAGTAATGGCTCAAATATAAAAGCGTTTCTTCCAACTTTGATTTTGTTTCCTTTGGAGTAGAGAGCTTTATGCCGTGGGGTTCAAGTGCACAGGCACTTATTAAAGCAGTACTGGTGACGCTAGTGCTTTCCTCGCTCAAAGAATAAGACAGTTGTCGGAATACAGCGAGGATATTTTAACGCACAACGGACCTAATGAGTCTAAGTGCGGAAACTGAGTCCACCAACCATCAACCATTACAGCGAGGAAATGCTGCCAGCGTTAAAGGAACACTACACTGCCAAAGGGACTAAACTTTTAGGATTTGTTTTAATTTTCTATTTATGATTTTTTTAATAATTATTACTATGAAGTAAAAAATATTGTAAATACTGTATATTTGTGCGTTTGACAAAGACATTTAAATTTAAATTTTTATTATTTTAGTCACACGATACTGTTATTTTATTACTATTTAATTGATTAGATTTAGTTTAGTTTGATATTTCTAAATATTTTTGAACGAAACCAAACAAGAAGTAAATGCCTTATAAAGTTTTATTGCACTTTCAATAGAGGCCTTAGGGATGGCTCAAGTCATTTTATGTGATTACCATTTAAGGATCTTCATCATCATCACAAATTGAATCATAACCACCATTAGGAGTGAATATACTGCCGGGTGCAAAACACAGAGGCGGAGATATAGGGACTCTTTTTTTATTAAATATTACATTATTCAACTCTGGAAGACGTCGATAAAAGGCGAATACATTTCCGTTACAACACAAGATTAACATTAATCTAACATTATCTTTTTTATTAAAATTAATAAAATATGTAAATATATATTAATAAAGGTCTCCAAATCCAAATTCTACGCCTGACAATCGGAAGTCATATTTTTACTGTTAATAAAAAATATTTACGATGGGTAAATATTTTTTTAACAATTTATGACATGATGAGTGTGATTAACACGAACTAGGTTATATGATTCAAGGCCGTACAAATCTAGAAAGGATTAGCATAATTAAATTTATTAAAAAACTTGTCATGTCATTATCATTTTCCAGTTCGTTTGCATAATTTTGGAGACGTAGTATACAATCGTATTTATATCAAAATATATTATTTTATTATTTCGGATCCGTATTCACACTGTTTTAACCCCTGAGAATAGAGCTATTTAAATTTTATGTGAGCATAAAGTAAAGAGTTGGATGGGACGTGTTACTTTGAGAAAGTATTGCTACTTCGACTACTGTAACGCAATCTCAAACTACAAACTATAATACTTGTGTCATACTTTACGCAATTCATTACATATTTCTCTATATTGTACTCTATTGAAATAATGTATATGCAATAAAATTATGGGTGTGATTTTTTTTTTAAAGACAATTCACACCAATTGACCTAGTCCCATGCTAAGCTGGTGAAGCTTGTGTTATGGGTACTAGGCAACGGATATACATACATATTATAGATAGATAGACATATAAATACATATTTCAACACCCAAGACCTAAGCACAACACCAAATGCTCATCACATCGATGTTCGTCTCAGCCGGGGATCAAACCCGGGACCCATGTATTCGCAGTCAGGGGTACTAACCACTAGACCAATGAGTCGTCAAATTTTGATTTTTAGGATCCTCCCTCATCAAGTATGGTGAAGGAAAACATCGTGAGCAATCTAATATAACCCAATACAACGACGTGTGTCGAAAGAAGGCTGATTAACCAACCTGATTAAAAATATATTTGTTAAACATCTAATATATAAAATTCTCGTGTCGCAGTGTTTGTGGTTAAACTCCTCCGAAACGGCTCGACCGATTCTCATGAAATTTTGTGTGCATATTAGGTATGTCTGAGAATCGGACAACATTTATTTTTCATCCCCCTAAATGTTAAGGGTAGTCCACCCCTAAATTTTTTTTTTTAGATAAAATTTTTATTCTTTATTTTTTTATGATACAGCATTAAAAATACATACAACCCCTTATTTTCACCCCTCTACGATCAACCCCTATTTTTTTTCATAAAGGATAAACATGGCAAAACGACGTTTGCCGGATCAGCTAGTTTATCTATATTACTGAACACAAAAATCAAAAATGATTAGATTTGTTTGGTTTGTGGTATTGTCACAATAGCAGCAGTCAGAGTACGACATGTCTACCATTGTGGGTGGTTAAAGCGCCAAAAGAAGTAGAACTTCAAAAAATTTATTATTTTTTTATAGCTAACTTCAGGGTGTCGGTTTTTTGTGACGGTGTGCGCGCGCATCGTATAAATTAACTCTCCTTCCCTAACGCGCCAAAAGAAGTATAACTTCAAAAATTATTTAGTCAAATCTTTTAATAAAATATTTATTATAACTATCATAAATAAAATTAATGATTTTGGTTTCTAAGATAATGGCGTGAACAGTGAAATACATGACCCCTACAGCGCTATTTGACTCTCGGATGACGTGTTGGTATCACTCACAAGCTTTCAATATTAACAATTTTATTAAATAAAATACCACCTGCTGCGCTACTTCATAAATTATTTGAGAAAATTTCTTAAATCTATTATGTATCTTGAGGATCTACAATAATAATATCTATAATAATTTAATAAAGCCATTTCGGAGAAGTTTGCCCACAATGCGACATTTATATATTCGCACTTTGAACGTTTAAAATGAAACAGGCGTCACCACAAATCATGATTTATATATACTTTGTTATGTAATGTTGTATATAGATGAAGGTTTACGAATTTTTGGAATTGTTAACCATTTCACAGAACCAGGGCGGAGTTTAGGCCAACCGGGCCCCCACAAAAAAAGAGCCCCACAATAGAGACTTCGGACTAATAAACAGTAGTAAACCACTATTCTTTTGATATATCTAAATGTTTGTTATATACTAAAATAATCTACTTTGTTTCTCAATAAATAATTGATTGAAAAACTCGAGTGAAAAAATTGTTCATTTTATTTGGAAAATAAAGCAAGAGCAGTGTTGGCCTAGTGACTTCAGCGTGCGACTCTCATAATCTGAGGTCGTAGGTTCGATCCCCGGCTGTGCACCAATGGACTTTCTTTCTATGTGCGCATTTAAAATTTTCTCGAACAGTGATGGAAAACATCGTGAGGAAACCAACATGTCTTAGACCCAAAAAGTCGACGGCGTGTGTCAGGCACTGGAGGCTGATCACCTACTTTTTATTTTTTTTTATTTTTATTATAAGTAAGTACTTCCTCTTAGATTTAAAAATGATCATGAAACAGATTCAGAAATCTGAGACCAAGACCTAAAGAGGTTGTAGCGCCACTGATTTTATTTTATTTGGAAAATATTTGAGGGTCAGGGGCCTCCACTCTTTTGTTGTAATGCCTTTTTTAGAGGTCTTCAAGACCTCTAAAAAAGGCAGAGCCTGAGCTGCAAAGAGCTGCAAAGCGTTGTCCACTCGCTGTGACGATTAAAAAGTTCCTAATTAACTATTTAAAGTAACAAAACTACTGTTCAGGTTTTTTGTACGTATTTCATGCACTATGCTTTACGCTTTGTAGTCTCGCTATCGAAACTACTTAAATCGAATAATTCATTCGATCAACGAGAGTTTTCTCTGGCAGGTGTCTGACAATTATGTCGCTTTTTGCGTAATGAATCATTAATCAATGTCGGTAAGCGATTTGTATGAAATGGCTTTCTGTGTGACGTTGACGTTATCGAGATAATAATTATTGGACCAAAGCTATTAAACCTTTCACAATTAAATTTCTTGTTTCAGACAATTTTAATATTATTAATTCATTTCAATATATTTTTGAATATTTTTTTTTTTAAAGACAATTCACACCAATTGACCTAGTCCCATGCTAAGCTGGTGAAGCTTGTGTAATGGGTACTAGGCAACGGATATACATACATATTATAGATAAATAGACATATAAATACATATTTAAACACCCAAGACCTCAGCACAACACCAAATGCTCATCACATCGATGTTTGTCTAAGCCGGGGTTCGAACCCGGGACCCATGGATTCACAGTCAGGGGTACTGACCACTACACCAATGAGTCGTCATTCTTTAGGATCATAGTTTCTGAACGTTTTCTGTTTTAAATAATTTATCATGAGGTCTTGGGTTCCAATACTGAGTGAAGCTGAAAATTTAATTTGTTATTTTGAACTAAAAAAATGCCCTAAGTTAAGCTTTGCAGTATCCGTCCCGTCGAAATACACTCAGTTCTTGACTCTACGTTCAACATGTTAATATTCATATCCCCTACGTATGTCAGAGAGATAATTTACATTAGTCAAGTCTTGATTCATTGACTTTGCCATATATAATTAAATGACGGCCGGAAATATATAAGGCCGGCAACGCACTTGCGAGCCTTCTGGTAGTGTGAGTGTCCATGAGCGGCGGTATCACTTAACATCAGGTGAGCCTCCTGCCCGTTTGCCTCCTATTACCACATACAAAAATGACATTTATACTATAACTTAAAATACTAAGTGGTCCTGTCTAGTGGACAGTTTTTATATTACTTTAATTCAAAATAGATAAGAAGACCTCACCTCCATGCAACACTTTAACTTCCTCATACGTTGCAGATCGCCAGATGCTAGTCTGTGTCTTCCTCTTCCTATACACAGAGAGGTCCTTCCAAGCCAAAGTGAGGTTCTCTGGCGTGTCACCGAGGCCAGCCATCTCATCATCGTCCCAGTTGACCACGGCTCCGGTGAGGACATTACGAGTGGGCAGTTTGGGTATCATTAGTGTGAGGTCCTTCATTTTTGGGCTACGTCATTTGGTTCTGTGGAATAACAACTTTGTTTACATTGGTTTTACTTTTAAAACAATAATTACAAAATTTTAGTTTCAAAGTCCCGTATGAATTTTTGACATCTATGCGTTACAAAGACTAAAGCGTTTTTATACTAGGTTCTTATACAGTTTAATTGTTCTTTTAGGTAATAATATTTAAATAATATAATATTATTATTTATTTTTAATAATATTTTAGACAAGGAAGTTTTTTTACGTTCACAATAGAGATCCCTTGGCCTACGTCAGGGATAAGTTTCTATAAGTTTTTATAAGTGTACATATAAGTTATACTAAACTGTTCAGTGTTTAACCAATTTTTACTTAGTTTATTACTTTCTTTGATACATATTTATTTAGTTGAATAAAATCATTTTATTGTTACCAATACAGTTAATATTATTAGTTCTTAACTATTTGTAAAGATTTATTTAATGGCGTAAAAGAACATTGTATTCAGTAAGTAAGTTAGTAATAAGCTGTAAATCTTTCTCAATAAATAAAATAAAAATAAAAAATATTTTAAATCTACAATATATTTTTGGTACTGCAAGATACACGAGAAACCGACCGCGCCACTTATCCGACAATATTCTTTAAATATCTATAGACAAGAAGACCCCTCGCAGTTTAAGGAATTTAAAAAAAATCGCAGAAAACTTCCCGCACCTGGGGGACTTTCAAATGTTTGCTGACAGCTCTAGAGTTTCACTTGTGTTAATTTGTTGGTCGTACCTGGCAGCTGCGAAGACGGGACATTCTAGAATAAGGTGTAATACGCTTTGTTGGACATTAGGTTCACAAGCAGAGCTTGTTTTTAAATGAAAGCCAATGAAAACCCAAACGCACAACGTCCGGTTAGAATTTGTACCATGGACTGAACCAACAACGAATATTCACTGGACTAAATAAGATTCAGAAGTAGTTAAACAAATTTATGTGGGCCCTTCAATCTGTATATCGAAGTATCGTAAGATATTACAGTCAGAAAGGTAACGAGTAAGAAATAACAATAATTCTAATTAAATTAATAACAATAAATTAATTATTCTTTAGGTCATCTTTTTCAATAACCCCGCGTCCCCCGCTTGTAATAATAAATACCAACTACGTATAGGTACCAAAGCTTCGTTTATTAAAGGAATGAATAACTATATTGTACTAGCGTACTGTGGAATCGACTCCCGGGGGGGGTCTTCCCTCAGAGATACGACTTCCAAATGTTTAAAAAGCGAGTCTACTCCTCCCTCAAAGGCCAGCAACGCACCCACTAAAAATGGGTGTCTATGGGCTGCGTAGACTGTCCTTTTTTGTCGTCCCGCAAGCTCGTTTGATTTTAGCCCCCCTTTTATAAAAAAATAAATTGTGCGTGTACTAGGTGTACACACGTAAGAAGTGAAACTTCTTTATGATCTTATTTTTCGAAAAATGATCTACTATATGCAACTTTACAGAAATTCGTTAAATTAGATAAAGTTTAACTTTAGGCTTTTATTATCATAGACATGAATACAAATATTTCATTTTACAAATACAAATATTTTATTTCATTAATTTAATAATTATTACTATCATTGAAAAACGTGACGATTTGCTACAAAATTTCTCCCATACGTCGATAAAGAAGTTTGACTTCAAAAAGCAACATGGCGCGTAACCGAAAAATGTGACGCGTAACGAAAAAATGTTACACTAAATTTTTTTCCAACCTCGATAAAGAAGTTTCACTTCAAAAATATTGTAGTGTTATAAAACTCAATATTAAGATGTAATAAATTACTTGTTATGCTAAGTTTTTGGCTTTTTCGTGGGTCGCGATATAAAAATGGTTGAGAAACGATGCTTTAGGTATTATTATTATACCTAAAGAGCTACTAAAGATGCCCGAATAATCCAATTATTAAAAGAGGCATTGAACTGTGAAATATATTTTTCCCTTCTTCGATTTAGGCTTCAAAATTTTAACTCCGATTCGATTTGAACTTCAAATAGTCCGTAGTCAATCTCTTCTTAAGCTGAGAAAAGATCTAACTTCGCACAGAACAAAATAAATACACGTCGACTTAATACCCTCCTCCTTTTTTTGTGGTGGTTTAAAAGTTGACATCTAGTATAGAGTTTTGAAAACAAGTGTTATGTCTCAAAGTCATTACATTAAGTACGACTATAAAATGTTATATAAAGTCGACGTTTCCTGTGCTTAGTTATTAATAATTATGTTTGTAAAGAAACTTTATAAATTACTAGTGGACCCCACAGACGTTGTCCTGCATGATATTTAAAGCGATTAGGATGTTAAGCAAAGTATGAAAGTACCGACTGCAGTGCCATCTGCCGGGCTGATTTGTGAATCTAAACCATTCCCAGATCCCCTTGAACACACACAAAAAATTTCATCAAAATCGGTCCAGTCGTTTGAGAGAAGTTCAGTGACATACACACTCACAGAAGAATTATATATATAAAGATAAGTATATCCTGATCCGAAAATAACTTAAATTCAGTTTAAAATACCGACATAGCTATTTATCTTATTGGCGCAGTTATAATATAGGTGCAATTAGGCCACGCCTTTATACTGACGCCCATAATTAAAAAAATTGTATACTAATTACAGTGTGAATTGCTAATTTCAGTGAAAAATAAGATGAATATTAATATGCAAAATAGCTTTTTGTGTAATATATTTTTTTTAAAACAGCTTTAATTAACATTGAAATATGACATTCAAATTGTAAAACTGACATTAGCAGGGTAGCAATATAAAACAAAAGACGACGGTGATAGCTCGTTTTTTCTGATTGTAATTGGTCGAAATGAAATGACGTTGTGTACTGACACATTTGTGATTAGTCTAAAAACAAAATATTTATTCCAGAGGGACAGAGGTATGAAAACCTAAATAAAAGTTACGTACACTAAAGCTGGCCCTTGGACGTAGCGATCAGCTCCATACAAAAGATGAGAGTGACTTATAAGAATCAAGAGAAAAGGTTTCGTATTTTATTTTACATTCTCAAGCCCATTCGCAGAATGCATGGCAACAACGTGATGATGTGTAATTAATTAAAGCCAAAATCGCAAAACAAAAGACTGTGTTTAACTTAATAGCTAAATAATTAAATAAAACTTCGTTAGTGTGAAGCAATTCATGTTTCTTTCAAGGTGTACTTTAAATAATAGAAACTCCTTTATTACATGTTAAACTTGTTTATTTTTAAAGCTTATGGCCAAATCTTCTCTTTGCTGAAAAGACCTATTTTGTTTTGACATCCAATTTTTTAGACGTGTCTTCCAATATCACGAACTAAACTGACAGAATTCAATAGAAGGGTATTTAATGTCGTAATGGTTCGTCTACAATAAAGGAGAAAATGGACGTAGTCGTGTTCGTACTTGATCAAATTCATAATGAATTTGATAATGGGCTGGTGAAAATTAAGGGCTCAACCTATAACTGGCGGCATCTATGTGATATTAGCAACATATGAACTCAAGGGGAAGGCATAGACTCTCTTGAAAATGTCTTCAATTATATAAATAGATGCTTTCGAAATCAGCGCGTAAATGTCTTTTAATATTCTAAAGGGCCTCGCTACTGAAGTGCAAGTAACGGTTTCTCTATATAAGGCGATTATAATACAAATGATTGGTGAACATGAGGACGTAATAAACGATTACGTATTTGAATATTACTTAAATAAAATATTATATTTACCATAAAAAAGCTATAAAGAAACGCAAATAATATGGAGATCGGCCGTATCGGTAAAAAAGTTTCAGACAAAATGAGAAAAATAATTGGTTTAAAAAAATGCAAATATATAGACGTACTAAGTAATTTAATTAATAAATGTTTATATAATATATACACCGTTTATGGGTAATCAAAACTTTTTTTTAAAATGTACGGGAAAATTCAAAATTGAAGTTTCAATGGCGATTTGTGAGATTTGATAATAATTTTATTTTAAATATAATTAATTCTTGCTTCACGATTGATTTTAAAAATCGTTGTGTTCGTATCTCAATCAATTATTATTTTACGGAAAAACATTCAGTTTTTCATCCTGTGCTCTATGTCACAGAGGTGTTAATAAATATAAATGTAAAGAAAGATGTGACCACAGTTATTACAGAATATAAATTTATCTTCTAAGTTGTCACATCCTGACAACAATGATCTCAATTGAGGAGTAATTTCGACGGATATTTTGTGAATGCTTCCTTTTAAAGTACAGTTACAACGAAAAATTTATATTTAAAAAGTAGTTTCGAAAATAATTATAAAAAAATTTAAAGATTTTAATAAATTATTGTACTAAAGAATAATATCGATTAATATTAATAAAAAATATTATATTCTGCGGTTAAATAATTTTAAAATATGAAAAAAAGTCGCAATAAATTTTAAATGTAAAAATCCAACTTATAAAATAAAATTAACACAAATTAAGCAAAGCTATATATTCTTAAAATATCGCGTAGATTTCTATAATAATACTGACCTGAGTAGGAATTATTAACTTAATGAAGCACCATTTGGTTAGAAATATATAAATATATTTTTGGGTAGAGCCGTCCACTTCGTGCTTTAACCACACCAAGAATGGCAAAGGTACAGTGAAGCCTCGACTACAGTGAGAGGTTGACGAAACCAAATTCGTTGTATCGTTATAACTAGATTTTTTGCGACAATATTTTTAGATAAAAGCCTTCCAAATATACAGTCATATCAACCATTTATTTATGTCTACCAAAATTTTAATAAAGACCAAGCGGACGCGAGGCTTGTCACGTACACGTCTAAAAAAGAAAAACAAATATTTAATCGTTAATCTATACCATTTTCGAATCCACTTGAAAAAACACAAACCATTTTATCAAAATCGGGAATATGGAGGTTGTATACTTCATCACAGGATAGTGTTGAGCAGTGTTGGCCTAGTGGCTTCAGCGTACGACTC